CTACTAAAGACTTGGATAAATTTTTAGTAAGTCATCGGTTTTCAGTAAATATATTCTTAAATCGAGAAAAACTTCGTTCTACATCCGTTGAAGATATCAGGACATACTTATAAAGTATACCAAGTCACTGCATGAAAGGTCTTTCGGTTAAAATTAAATTATCTAGAATTAAAAAAAACCCCGGGCCGCAACTCGTCTGTAGGTACCTACCCAAAATAAACTCGGGCCGCAATTCGGATTAGACCTTTTWTCGTAGATATTTTCGGGACGTAACTAGTATGCAGCCATATTGTTAGACCCCTACGATAATAATATAAGTATAAGAATCCAAAAAATCAAAAAAAATATATTCAATATAGTCCTAGTTGCATTTATACAAGGATAACTATTTTAGTTAATCCACTGTTTATTACATTTAAAAAGTTCATTAATTTATTATTAAACCAAATCACAGTGGCGTACTAATGGAATGGGGGGATAACCTTCCCCCCGAAATGTTTAGAATGCATTTTTTTAGTAGGTACCTATGAGAAACTAAAATTTAGAGTGACATGTCAATTAAAAATAATAACATGAATAAAAATAAATAAAAATTAGTAAACTTTTGAAATTTACTATATATTTTGTTTATGTTCAGGTTCAGATCATTCAATATAAAAAAAATTAACCACCTCCTTCCCCCTAATTCAGTTCTAAGGACGCCATTGCCGAATCATAATATTATTTTTGGTAAAATTATAACTATAAAAAGCGGGTAAGTCGTGGATGTCGCTCTGCTGTACAGTTGGTTACTGTAATGGATGGGATTAAATTTGAATGCAGTGATAGGTATATCATTGTATACGAAAAACGATTCTGAACGGAGATGATTTGTCAGTCTAGGATATATTATATTTAAATATTGTCATATTATATTATATTTTAAACAAATATTTTATTTTTCAATTAAGACGCATTTTGCATAAGGAATGGTTAATTCATGATAAAATAAATAGGTATGTCAGCAACTATTATTCTCTAATATCTATGAAAACATTTCGTAATCACAATATAATCATCTCGTATATATACATATATATATATATATTATAATCTGTGGTACAATCATTGTACAAATTTTCAATTTTTCAATTTCCGATCTAAATAACTGCTAAAATGTTCAAGTATCTACGACTTATACTTTTTAAATAATAACAAATGTTTAAAATCGTTTGATTTGAACAGATTTCGTAAAAATATGAACTATAAACGCTTATAAAAAAAAATTGTGACCATATATTTCTTTTATTTTTTTAACTGCTATTGTAAAAATATGTTAGGAGCCTTGTATTAAATTTTTAAATCTTAGATCTAAAAAGAAAAACTTTTATGAATTTCTATCTAAGATAATTTGAACATTGCCGTAATTTTTACGTATATTAAGTCAATATTTGAACTTTAAATGTTAATAACAAAAAAATTGTGCCTATGTATTCTTATAATTTTTTAATCACTATAAGAATAACTTATGAGTAACTTTTATTAAAGTTTTAAGTATTTTGATTGGGCCAAAAAAATATTATCGACACTTCAAAAAAAAAATTTTCATTAAAATTGAAAATTTCAGTTGTCTATAAATATCTCAAAAAAAGTCAAAATATTTTGAAAATTAAATCATATAAAGAAAATGCCAATCTAAATAACTGGTAAAATGTTCAAGTATCTACAACTTATACTTTTTGTATAATAACAAATATTTAAAATCTTTTGAGGTTAAATCGTTATCGTGACGTTATTTCGTAAAAATTTGAAATTTAAACGCACTTAAAATTTTTCCTATACTGAATTTTTCAATTTCAAAATTAATTGCAAATATTCGCGTTTTCGACAGATTTCGTAAAAATTTGAACTATAAACGCTTATAAAAAAAAATTGTGAATAACAATTTTTAATTTTTTTTAGCTTCAATTAGAACAACTCATAAGGAACCTTATATTAAATTTTCAAATTTTTTTTGGTTATCCAACATTTTTTTACCGACACTTCAAAAAAATTCTCAAAAAAAATCGAAAATTTCAGTGGTCTATAAATAACTCAAAAAAATCGAAATTTTTTGAAAATTAAACTGTATGTAGATATCACTAACATTAATATTTGGTGAAAATTTCAAGTATTTACAGTGATTAGTTTTTGAATTACAACCATATAAAAAAATCGATTTGGTCGAAAACTGGTTTTGCGTAAAAATTCCCGTTTTTCTGTCATTTTTTTTGTTTTGTTTTTCTCGATTTTTTTGAAAACTGTTGGAAAATGTTTACTTTTGAACTCTATAATGCACCAAGGATTTACACTTTTACATCGGAAACCACCCCCAAAGTTTGAAATTGAAGCATTATTTTGACTAGTTATGCTGTACACAGACACAACAACAAACATAAAAAACAAAAAAAAAACACAGATCATTGTAAAATCAATACATTCATCACTTCGATCAGAATCTAAAATTATTTAATAATAACAAGTACCTACAGTTTTATACTAATGTCTAATATACACACTTTTTAAATTATTTTGAGGTAAGTAGTATTTAAAGGTACCTAGTAGTGACTTGCCTGTCTCATGGTAAAATTTTAATTTTTGGTTATTCCCAACTATTAATGACTAAACAAGTTCAGGTTCAAATATGTTTATTAATTTATAACTAGCTGAATACCTAGGTACCGTGAAAAACTCTAGAAACCAGCTATAATACTATGTAACAAAAAGCATTCATATTTCATATATTAGATTAGTGTACATGACAATCATGGCATGAACCTGAGTAATCAACAAAAATATTATTTTTGCGTAGTTTGAGTAACGTCACAATTAGTGATCGTAGATATTCTTGAAATGTTTCTGCTTTCTGTTATTTCTAAGGACTAAGAACAATCTATGAAATGTTCGTCAAAATCAATTATGGTGTTTTAGAGTAGGTATATAACGCAACCTTTATAGTTACAAACATTTTCTTTTATATGTATAGATCATAGATAAATGTTAAGTATAAATAGATATAAATTAATGCTAGACAAAAAATGTTATTAAATATGAATATTAAGCTGAAATTAAACGTTTTACGTTTATAATAAAATAAGATAATAATCACCATCACCACTATTATCATTATTATATTTATTATTTTCTCTTTTTATGCCACAGCTGCCCMTACTCATAGCTCCAGAGAGCGTCACAAATTCACAATTATTGGTCAAGGGCATAGACATAATATAGTCTATGGTCAAGGGAGTAATGGCACATCAGGAGAAAAAAAATATTATATTAATTCCAGTAATTCCACTATGATGATGATCAATTATGTCGGTTTGATAATAAAAACAATAAATAAATAAACTGCTATAAATAGTATAAATATAAATGATACATTTTTTCTTACCTACATATTTTTTATCCCAATAATTTTGGATCCGTAATATTATACTGTAAACGGACAATGGAGTCATGGGACAAATAACTAATAAGTTTAAAGTTTGAATACTTCTAATCTATATAATATTGATTTATATACATTGGTACAGCTATGGGGATGCTTTGAGTCTTTAGCATTCTCTAAGTCAAAATTAGTGCCCTAAAAAAATTTTTGAAAACTTAGCTCCCATTAAGTCACAAAAAAATGTGGAGCTTAAGCGCCCCTTTATTGAAATCTGTAGTTGCACCGATGTTTGTATAGATTCTATGTATTTAAGTATTTTACATAGATATAATCATGTTATCACAATATATATCAATTATAATCAATATATAATATCTACTCAGCGATTGAAGTAATCTACAGAAGATAGCAATAATAAAATATATGCAATGCGTTAAATAATATTCCAAAAATTAGTTAAACAATATGTTGCAAAAATTTGATTTTAAAACTATTATGATGAAATAATTGTATACTTTTAGGATGGACTTGGTTAAAAATCGTCTAGACATTGGCCTATTCATACCAACAATCAAAGTAGAATCGAAATACGATCTGAAAGGAAATTTATTATTATTACCACTGGTGGGTGTAGGCGATGCTAAACTATATCTGAGTAAGTGTGCAACAAAATTTAAATCATAATATCAAACAAATATTTTATTTACTTTATTTTCAGAGAATGTAACCACGCATGTACAGACAAACATCTACTTCCCCATGTATATGAATGAGACTGTAATGGTGGCTAGCAGTATGAAAGTTGACTTTAACTTGGCTGCAATGCGTGCCAACTTTGACAATTTGTTCAACGGCAACAAAGTATTGGGTAGGTAAAATCACTAAAATCATAAAAAATTACTTAGCTTCAGTAAAAACATAACATACAAATCATTATTAACATAAAAAAGACACATTTTCACATTCTATATAAAATTTTTGAACTATATCAAAATGTCATATAATTTCGATTGGGTTTCTACTATTTCACAGGACGAACTGTCAACACATTTTTGAACCAAAACGCGTTGGAAGTGGTAGATGGTCTGAAGGAAAATATTGGTGAAAACCTATCGACCATATTCAAACAGATTATGAACGATGCATTTAGCCACATGCCAACAAAACTATGGCTACAAGACGATTAGTTGACTTATGTAACTATATTATTATGTGAGCATTGTTGTACATATAGCCTATTTCGAATTATTTTAACGTATATATCTATATAATTATTATATTCGTGGTACATGATTATAATTTAATATTTAATCATTGTATTTTGTAATTTTTATTTTCACAACTATGTTACTATTTTCTATGTATTACTATTATATAAAAAATGTATGAAGAGGAATAAAAATCAATGATATGCGTTCCTAAATATTAKGACGAACAGACTAAAACAAATTAAATCCTTTCACTTTTCTATCGAGCTAATTTTTATGAATCGCAATATTGTACAGTTCTAAAAATTGACCTTCACAGTTGCAATACAAATTTTATTTAACATGATGTATGCAGCCATATGTACAACTGTACAAGTACAAAATACTAATCAATAATCTAACTTCATATTTATAAGTAAAGGTATTAGGCTGGTCACATACAATTCGTGTACCCTGCGATCATCATAATCTCAAATCTCTACAAGATTGCGTGTATTTTGACTATTTTGAGTTGACAATATTTTATATGTCGCTTCTACACGACTTTAATATTCACTGATTAATTGAACCAAAAACAAAACAAATTATAATTATGAAATTCATATCAGTGATGTAAGTCCAAAATAGATGTTTATAAAATGACGACGATAAAGTCGTAGTAATAGCATAGAACAGTAATAGTGCCACATTTACGGTAAATGTGTGCTAATTTGAAAACAACAAATAAAACTAAAACCAAAAGATCGTCATCTCCATCATCTCGATGGAGTTTGTATTTTAATGAAAGTCGAGAACAGTAAGTATTTTTTAATTTTTAACTATTAGTATAAGCATTGATTATAGAATAGAAATAGAATTTTATTCTATAATCAATGGTATAAGCTATTTGTATAAATAAAAACCAAAAATCACTAACCCTCTCATCGATGATCACTGATCGCTATTTCTCAAAAACAAAAAACGTATGAATTTACATTTAGAATAATAGTTCTTCTATAATACTATTAATACTCTAGATGAGAAATAAAAAGGGATGTTAAAATATTTACATTTTAATGAAAATCCTTGTTTTAACTTTTCAATCCTTAGCTACAAAAATTGAACATTTTATAATTTTTTAACTATCTACAATAAATGTGAAGATAATCAAGATCTTAATAAATTTTGTCAACATTTTAACTTTAAATATTTGAAAAAATCGTGCCAATGAATCTTTAATTTTATGATATTTTTTTCAGATAATATGTTGCTCACGTAATTATATTCAGATAATTAAAATTAAGAAATTAATTTATATATAATAGGACATAATAGTACATAACGTCTTATTATAGTAGTAAATCATATTAAAAATCTACGAAATCTAAAACTACGAATTTAATTGAATTTTAGATCGTTTTAGGAGAAAACTTTATTGTAACGACGATGTGAATCGATATGGATAATTCAAGATACCTAGTAATCATAATCTATATAGATTAATAATCCATTATTTTCAGATTATCGAGAAGACATTTTGAATGACAATCGTATAAAATAATAATTGGGGCTTAGCCCTTAGATTATTAGTAGATTAAGGGGGAGAAATAAACTTGTTAATATTTAGACTCACTTAAAACCATCTATAATACTCCGTCATTTCAGAGTCATTCGTCTTAGTTGAAGTTTGATCTGTTCAGTCTATGCAAACGTATATATTAACGTATATTAACTTATATTACTTGTGTTTAGTAATTTTAATTTTCTTTCAATATTTGTTTAATTTTTTTTTTTTTTTTTGAAAATCATTTTCCATAAATTTCCAGTATGGCAGGTAAGTGACAGATGTAGGCAATAGCCAAAAATATGTGGCCGTAACTGATATAACTATAAATTAATTTCTAAAAAGTGTAATGTAAATTATTTAAATTTTTAGATAATCAAACAAATGTTAAATACCTTTAAGTTTAAGGGGTCGCTACACCAGCATTTGGTTTCTCTGTCTATCTCCCACATAATATAGGTACAAAGATACTCCCTATTTCCACGATTATGACTCTCTAGTTCAGTTTAGGGTAAAAGCACCTAATGCCTATTATATATTTTATAAAGAAGAGTATTTCCCGTGAATTGACCCGATAGATTTTTAATATTTACATTTTTTATTACTATATAAGCATGTTTGAATTTAAAATAATTTCGATTATTTTTAACCATTAATAATTTATTCAAAATTTTAAATATTAAAAATGCATCCGGTCAATGCATAGGAAATACTCTTCTTTATAAAATATATAATATGTGCTTTTGTCTTAAACTGAACCAAAGAGTCGTAATCATGGAAATACGGAGTATCTTTGTACCTATATTATGTGGGAGATAGACAGAGAAACCAAATGCTGGTGTAGCGACCCCTTAAAAGATATAGTACCCGTTGTGTTGTATCCATCTTACACACATGGGACATGGCAAATGTTCGTTCACCAGTTTCACAAATTATAAAATTCAAAATTAACAGCACAATATTGAAACTGGTGAACGAAAATTTGCTATGTCGCACGTGTGTAAAACGGAGACAACATATGGGTCTACGTCCTATTAAGATAAATATTATTTTTTTTTTATTTGAAATACGTTGTTGTCCATAAAAATATAATTCCCCGATTTCATATACATCACTCATTCATTTTTTAATAATTACAATAATAAAAAAATTTGAGCTTTTATTGAGTTACATTCAGCACCTGATTTACCAATTCATAGGCCCAGTATAATTTACAATTTTGGGCCCCAAATTGTCCATTTCTATTTTTTTCAATGCCAAAATAAAATTTAAGCGTAATAAATTTTCAAATTAATTGTAAATATAATTAATTACTTGTAAATGAGTAATTGGATCATGGATCATAGAATACAATTTTATAGTCAAAAATATGATTATTTAGTATACAAGAACGCTTAACACTTTAACTGTGTCTAATTAATGTTTAATACGTATTCAAGTAAGTAGGTATACATATTGAAAAGTAAACGGTTTTTTTTTTTAAATAAAAATTAGTATCAGCTTTAAGGCCTTCGTTAAAAGCCATTATACTTTATAAACCCACTGTATAAAAAGATATACAATTGATTGTAATACTAAATACCTGAAGTTGGTGGACCTCTCTTTATGAGTGGTCCCAGTGCTATTTGTCCTTGCTTAAATATGGCACTGGTTACATTATGTAGCTTACAATTTGATAAATTTTATTAAATTCACATCTAATTACAATTTTTTTTTTGCGAACTTGGTAATTACTAATAACTACTAAATACAAATCCAAAATAAATTTTATAAATATTAGTTGGTATTTTAATGAAAAATAAACAAAACTCAATATAATATTATAAATAAAATACATTTTTATGACTAAATAAACATTATTGGGTAATAGTATACATTAATTAAACTGTAAAATTCAACTTAGATGAACGTAATGAAAGATCGAGGTCGAGGTCACCAATCGGTAGTAACGAAGACACCGCATTTTATGAGGAAGGGGCTTCATCTAGAAGAATTCCGGGAATCAGAGGAACCATGGTATATGCTGATGCACGAGGATATACGTATGTTCAAAACCGTGTATCAACAAATCGACGGTAAGTACTAAAAGAATATGATATATCTGCAATAAAATAAATAATTAGA